TTACCTTAATTGGACCGCCTGAATCTGTTTCAGCCTTCGGGAATGTTAACATCAAGTTGCTTCTCACTGATAAGGACATCGTATCTGCTGACGATGCAATCATGAATGAAGATATTTCGTGGGATGCTGCTAACATTGGCCATGTGTATGACAAACTCATGGCTAAGAAACTAGACAGTAGCCGAGGTTCGGTGACTGTCAATTATGCGGTGCTGCGAAATGCTGTGGCTGCCAGGGTGACCATTTCAGTTGAAGAAGGAGGGGAATATGACGTGGAGGTTTATGGCCAGGCTTCTGCTTACTACAACAATTGGGACCAGGGCTCTGGTGATGCGACTTGTTTGTTGTTCAAAAGATCATCAAATGACTATGTTGAAGTAAGGCGTTGGCAAACTATTCCATTGTTGAGATCTGTGATTGCAGTGCCATTGAGTAGCTCTCTTAAAGTTTCTGCGCATTTGTATGATCATGACCCAATCTCTGCTGATGATGAGATTGCAAATGGAACAGCAGAGTTCCCAGTCCCAGACAAAATACCAGATACAACCTTCAAGCGTGTCGATGGAAAAGATGGAAACTATGTGACCGTCACAGTCTATTGGACTTCTGGTTTCTAAGCCGCTTTCCATGACATCCAAGTTATCTTTAATTTACATATTGGCTTTTGTTTTGGCGAGTTAATGTCTTGTTTTTGTGTCTTAAGTTGATGTGATGTTTCAATTGTGAGCCTATATATCTCGCTCCTGCAATAATGTCATGTTTGTTTTGCTGCATTATATTACTCTTGTTATACGTCTGGTAATGGAAACTCTTGATGTCATATATTTGTTTATTTTTGCTTTACCTTATTAGTCTGGATGGTGTGGTATATATCATGCCAAATATATGGTGAGACAAGCAAGGTTCATTAAAAACTGAATAAAACTAGTTGGTCGACTAGAAAGAGAAAAAAATGGATGAAATGGCGATTTTGGTATGATATGGATAATGCTTTGGGTTTGGGTTATGGTTAGTTTTGTCACTCTTGAAAGGGAGAGGAAGAAACAGCTTAGGTTTATGGATAATAGGCATAGGCATATATATGATAAATAAATGTGTATTATATTTATAAATTATAAAATAAGTACCCACACACACATGATAATTGATGAGCATCTTATATTTTATAAATATTTTTTAAAAATATAAAATATTTATTAACTTTCTAAAATGAGATTTTAAAGCTAAAGCTACATATAAAGAGTGTCAAGCGAAACCTCTTTTGTCTTAGGAAGCTTTGCCTCATAATTGAGCTTGGCAATGCCTCTAGCTCATTTCAAAACTTGCAAGGACTCAGATTTAATTTGGAGATACTTTTCAAAAGAGAAGGTCGTAGTTTGCCATATTCAAAATGTTCATCATCATGAATGGAAATGAAAGGAATAATTAATATAACTTCCTATATTATTTCATTTCTTGTTTCAAGAGTTACAAAATCATAATGCGTAAATAATAATAATAATAGTCATGCATCTGCTTTACCAAGAGCGTCTTAACTCTATAGGGGTGTGTGGATGTTTGTATTTGATTCATTTCAACAACAACAATAGTCCTATAAGGAGATTGTAACTCTCATATAATAGCACTAATAAAGCAGCTTAGCTTGTGACACGTGTACAAACCCCACTCTCGTGTTTAATGTCTTGTTTAAAATTTTAAACAAAATACGCTTGTATGCCTTGTATGGGTAATATAGTGTAAATATTCTTCCTATATATTGTTGACTTTATCAATATAACTAAGAATTAATATAATTTTTTTTAATCAAAGCCACAGTAGTGTTCTCTCTTTTCTTGGCTTGATCATAATTAAGCCAGATGAATTTTTAAGAAACGTCTCACCTGTATTTTCAGTGTGTGATCGTGAATCAACCTGTAATGCATATACCCCAAAAAGGTTGAAATTCAAGTGAATGTGAACAGACCATCTTCACTTTTAAGATTGATGAAAAAATAATTTTAAGAATTCTTATGCATTCAAACATCTCTTTCACAAATAGAGGTTAAATCTTAGATTTTATTAGATTTTTGTTAACTGTGTATTATTTTTTAATTCGATCCTTGCCAATTAGTGATCTTATTTTAAGTAAATTTAACGAAAAATATATATGTAAGTCCTTAAAGTATTTATTGATTTTAAATTAAGTTCCTGTAATTTATTTTATTTTAATTGATTTTTATTATTAGATCATTTAAATTTTTAACCCCTAAAGATTAAAATCTTTGCATTTTTTCTTTAAAAAGAAAAATAAAGAACTTTTATATCTTTGTTAAATAATTATATAACTTTAGAATTAATTATTTAATTTTATTAACTCAATTTATATAATTAAGCTTTCTTTTAAATATTTTTTGTGCATATAAAATTTTTGTACAAAATTAATAAAAATGTGATAGTGTATTAAGATTTTTCTCTTTCTTATTTTGGTTAAAAGTACTAAATTAATTTTTTTTTTATAAACACCAAAAGTATTTTTGTTTGAGAAAGAGAATGATAGAGAAGTATAAATGGGGCCAATTAATTTAAGTCCCAAGTACCAAACTTTGAGAACTTATAAGTTCGACTCTCAATTTTATAATTTTATTATAATGAGTTTGCAACTTATATTTTAAATTTTAATAAGGTAAGAAATTTATTTATTCTTTAACCATGTTAAAATTTAAAAAAAGAAGTTATAAATTCATCATACCGAAATTATAAAATTAAAAAATAAACTTATAAATTTTTAAAATTTGACACTTGGAATTTAATTTAAATTATTGGTCTTCTTAGAACCAATCTATTATCCTCCCATTTAATAATTCATTATTAATTTTAACCTTTAAGGATTAACATATTTAATACATCAAATTATAAGGGTGATGACTCTCTATATTTTTATATCTTTTTGAAGAGTTTTATTAATCTTTTAGAGAGTCATCTAATTATTTTTATATATTTTTCTTGTGTTTAATGTTTATTTTGGTATTAGTTAGCTTTTTTTTTGTAAATATTATGTTTTGATTTTGTTTTAGAGTATTTTCTTTTATTAATTTGAGTCATTTTTTATTTTGGGAAACTGATCTATTAAAGCATGAAAAAGGTGAAGAAGGAAAATATAATGAATTTAATGAAGAGATTAAATTTTTATGATCACAGCAGGTTAATATTATAAGGCAAATCCTGAACCAGAAACAGAATCTGCTACAGCGGGCACTAAAGTGGATTTCACACCAAAGGCATAGTTTTAGTTTTTCTGTCTGACAAAAGAGGGAAACTAGGGTTTTTTAAAGGAGGCTTCATTTTTTACATTCTCTGAAAGTTCAAAAGCGATTTTGGAGTGCTTGAAGCAATTTTGGAGCTTAGGAGTAAGATAACTCATCAACATCCACGTTTTCATTGAGTTTTCCTTCACTTTTCTCCTTCTTTCTCCTATGTATTTGATTTTGTCCCATTATTTTGCTATTTTGAAACTATATTTAGTTGTGTGGCTAAATTTTGATGATCTAGAGTTCTACGAACTCATTCACTCCGATCATATTTTGATTTACTGATTGCTTTGTGATTAATAAATGTTTTATGTTTTAATTCCAATTTATATTTGTGTTGTTTGATGATTGGCCACCATTAAATGATAATTTGAAGGAATAAAATGAACTTGGAAAAAGATTTTTTATTAAGACCATTGGAATTGAATGTTGAGGATCAATACCTAAAGGACATAAGTGATTAGAAGGGATTTAAACTTAATGCTTTTAATCTAAGTTTGAAAAGGAATTGTTGGGTTAGAATTTAAAAAAAAATTTGGATAATTAAAAGATATTCAAGATTAATTTTAGTGTCCTAGCCCTTAAAACTAAACTTAAAATCAATTTAATAAGTAAGTGAAGTACAATGGAGCAAATAAGGGATTAAAACTCTAGAGTAATTTCCTAATTGTTTCTTAACTTTAGAATGCTTCAAAATCTTAGTTGCCTACTTTACATTTTTTTAATTTTTAATTTGAATCATTCACTATTATAAGTTGCTTGCTTGCTTAACTTAAATGAAATTAAGAATTTAATACCTATTTATCAATTTACTTAATTTTTTGTGAAATCGACATTAATTTGTCATTAATTACAATCACGACCTGTACACATGTGGTGTCCTTTTAGTTTTTTTTTCTGCATCAAAGGGTTTGATTAAAATAAAATAGACTACATAAACTTAATTTAAAATTGAGAAAAACTACAAAGGCATACAGATTAATTTTTCCTAAATTTAAATCACAAAGTTGATTCATTAAAAAATTATTAAAATTTTATCAAATTCTTTAACTTGTTTTTTTTTTTAACAAGCAAATCGTTGCTTTTTTAAGAAAATACTACGGTAAAAAGATGCCCCAAGGAATATAATGTCGCTCCACTAAGAAAAGTATAGAATTTGTTTAACTCTTTTTTTCCATTATTTGGAAAACTGATTTTATAAAACATGCTATCAGAAAAAAATATTAAAAAGTTCTGTTTGAATAATTATTTTAAAAATTATCTGAAAACTTAAAAATGTAAAAACTTATCTGGTAAATTGCTTTCAAAACATGCCTTGAGAAAAAAAGACAAAAAAGAAAAAACAACTTGTTTAATTAACCTGTTTTACACAAATAATATTATGATAATTTTTTTATAATTATCTATCATCATATTGTAACCATGAATGAATTTAATAATAAAATTTGAATAAAACCACCAACAAATAACAAAAATAACATTGATTTAAAAAAGTCTCAAGAATATAGTTAAAACTCAACCTAACACATTGTTCTAAACAAAATATCCAGAACATCGTTTTAAGTGGTATAACTATGCAAAGTATGGTCATCATGTTTTTAAAGAATTAAAAACTAAATTTGCCCTCATAAAATTAAATCAACATGCAATATACACCTTTGTAAACCATGCATAGAACAACTCAATTCTATTCTATGAAAACATGCCCAACTATTATATCATAATTTCACATGAATTATGCTATTCAACCACATCATATTACATTTACAAGAAGTTGATACTTGATAGAAAGATTCAGTAGCATGGTCGGGCAAAATTTACATCTTCTGTAAGCAATACACACGTCACATCCATTATGTGCTGCGAGTACACATGTTCAAACAATTTTGGTAATATTTACAATATCAAAAATGTAGAAATACATAAAATTGCTAACTTCTGATCAAATTAAATTGTGATATGGGAGCAGAACTTCTCAAGCAACCTCTACCACATTCTTCATTATCTCGTACTGGTATACAACCTCCCTCAGAATAAGGCTAGATCCTCCGAGTTTCATAGGAAATCAAGTGTCAGACGCAAGCGATGAACTGCGCAGTGTAAATGGATCCCATGCGGAAAATATCTCTCTCTCTAAAATTTACATGGCAAGAATCCAACTCCTCACATCTGCACAGCAGCAAGCGAGTAGTTCAATTCGATGGTGAATGTCACCTCACTGCTCAAGACTCTGGATGCCTTTAAAGGTATATACAGGCACTGTAATAGCCTCTAGCATGAATACTTCTAAAAGATCTGCCATCTTGCCATGTTCAGAGATCAGATGCTATAGTTAGAATCACCAAGCCAAATGAAGGATGATGATCTTGCTTAGTTAAAGAAGTATGGTGATTCTAAAACATCCCTTAAGTCAAAATCTCCCCGTTCAGGCAAGGGCGGAAATGATAATGATGGAAAAGACCTCTGGAAGCTCTCCAGTAACTGTTCAAATAGTCAATAGGTTAGAGAGAGAGAGAGAAGGAGATAAATAAGGGATAATATAACTTCCAGTCCCTAAACTACAGAAATAACTCCGTCCTTATAGTGTTCCAAGTCAAGAAACTATAAAGATTGAAGTGTTCCAAGTCAAAGTTCAGGGAATAAATTGATAATTGAGAAATAAGTTTTGGAACTAAAAGTTGTATTTTTCCTAAAAATAATTTTGAAACACCAAAACAGTGACACAAGTTTGAAAGTCGATGACAAATGAAACAACAAAGACCTCCTGTGTTGGGCCAATTTAACTTGCGTAACCATCATTTACATCATGCAAATTTGTACCTTTTTCTTCCCTAGTTCTAGGAACGAGGAAGGAAGAAAAGTGTTTTTTCCTATGCCATTAAGGTTGACTGGTTCTTCTATTAATAATATAAACAACCACTTAGCTGAAAATAGAATTCAAACGCCAGCAAACAGAGCACAGTTCAATAATAAATATGCACTATTCTCTCACGCTGAAGAATTCTATAATCTCATATCAGGCTATAGCTATTTCTTCAAGTAAAATGAAAACTCTAGTAAATCTGATATGGGAAATCTTAATGAGATCAATACATATAAACAATAGTTGGGTAAATAATGTGCAGCTACAAACGTACATTTTCAAGAATTGGAGTCTCGTAGAGTTCCACAAACTTGTGTCTGAGTAGTCTGTTCATTTCATCCACATCACATGCATGGGTCCAGTATGAATCATGAACCCCTACAGATGTAACAGTAAAGATCCTCAAAAATATTGCACACTAATATCGATCAAATCAAATGGAAGGAAATGAACTAGGTCGAACCTGCAAAATTCAAGCCTGCGCTCTTGCAGGCAACTGCCGTCATCATCATATGAGAACCATCGAGTGAGTGAACAAAATTCGGGGGGAATGCTGTCCTCTGCCGCTTGACCATGACCTACAATAGTTTTAATTTATAAAGGAATGATATCAGAACAGCATCAATATTTGCAATCCCGAAACAAATTTATTATGAAGATGCAAGGTTATGATGCCATTTTTTAACAAGGAATTCCAAAGGGTACCCCTTGTTTAACCCACCTTATCAGTTTCGTCTTGCATTGTCAAAATCTGAAGTGAAGTTTTGACCTGTAACCAATACAATAGATTATAAACGTGTTAAAACTCTTGTTCTGAAAACTGAACAGAAGCATTAATGAGATTTATAATTCTAGGAAAATTATGTAAGACTCACCATATGCCTCCCTAACTTACGGTAAGGTTGCACTACAGGAAGTCCAAGAGGGGTGGTCCAGCGCACGGGTTGATTTTCAGCTGCAATTATCTGTTTCAATTGTCTTGGTCATAACATAACACAACCCCATAATAACAAGTAAAGAGCATAAAATTTTATCCTCCAAAACATACTTTTGCACAGTCACCTAGCCAGCTCATGATACTTCGTGCGGCTTGAAACATTTCCTCCAAAGCAGTTAAGGTTACCTGATAGAAAAGATGTAAGACACAATAACGTCTCTTTGTTGCAAAGATGAGATATTTTCAATGGTCAACTTCAAATTGGCCACATTAGTCCATATACCTGGAACTGGGTGGGAAAAGCTACAGAACAGATGCCAGGTATCATAAGCCAATTGTGTATTGATTAAGTACAAATTGCAGCTATAATCCTCTATTTACTGGATTTTTTTTGTGCTTTTTAGAAAATTTTAAAAAACAATACAACTAAATACAAGAAACACAGGCCATGCTATCTATATAAAAATTAAAAAATAATTAAAATTCATATCTCTTTTTGTGTTTTCAATTACGCCAGTTAAAAAAAAAAAAAGCTTTTAAACATAATTTTCATTACAATTATAATACATCAGTAGGATCATAATAGAGTTTAGATATGGTGGTTAAATAGTAATAGGATGCACATCCAAAAGTTACTATCACAAGCTATGTTTGAAATGCAAGCAATGACAGATGGAGAGGAGGGCAAGGAGGGGTTAACCACCCCCCCTCCCAAAAAAAAAAAAAAAAAAAAAAACAAAGCAAAAAACACACACAAAACATAAACAATATGTCAGCTAGTTCTTAAAAAATTATGGTTTTTGCTTGTTCAGCCTCTACGCCCCCCTCCCCTTCCCAAAACAAAAAACAAGACAAGACAAGAAAGAAGGGGGGGGCTCCATATTTTGCCTGAAATTCTCCCATCCCCACAAATCATCAAGTCCTGGATACGTCCCTAAATGCAAGCTTAGGTTTTTATGATTTATTATTTTTATTTATCAATGCATTCCTTTCCGGCTGAACTAAATTTGATACATTTACTATTATGTGAGCTACATTTTAACGTAGCTTACACAAAGCTTTGTGCTTTGTTGTTTTGCACTTAAGAGCCTTTGTCTTGTACAAGTGCACTACACATAAATAATAACTCCAAATTTATGACTGCAAACACAAACAGTTCCTTCCCTCTAACCTTTGCAGCATAACAAGCAGCAAGAAAAAGCTGGTTATTATCTGAAATGGCACCTCGATCTTTCAACCTCCTCATTATCTGATCCCGAGCACCTACGTAAGTGACACCATACACTGATGTCATCACCGTTTGCTTGACCAATTTTCTATCCACCTGGATGATGTTCCAGATTAACTTAGAATCTGCTTTCGAGAGAGGAATTCTCAAGAATAACCATAATGTCATTAAAGAACAGCAATGCAAAAAAGGGAGGAAAAAGAAATCAATGAAAATTCACACAACTATAAGCAATCCAACTCCTTGAGCAAAAACACAACATATCGGATGTACACCAAAAGGTAAGAAGGAAACCTGATTAATCAAGGTCTTTGCATGAGAAGCATCAGGAAAAACTGCAGGATCTTTCTGAGCATCCCTTCGTATGATGTCTAAAACTCTGCACAATATTTTCAAACATCATGAAAACTATAAATGCAATACAATAACAAGCACAGAGAAACTTTGATTTAGCATGGAACTAGAACTAGAATTTACCCCATGTGTTGTACATGGGCCATGATTATTAATGAAAAAATAGATGATGATTTTTCTATAATTATCATCTCCCTCTGGCCATGCTTACATCAAAGGATCCATTTTGCCTACAAAGGTTCATGAAAAATGACGGTGTCATGGGGAAGGTTTCAGATTTAGAATGAGGGGATCTTTTTCATTCCCACTTTTTATTTAGATTTTGAGTCAATGAAAGAGTAAGTATTTAGTAAGTAGAATGAAAATGAAAAAATAAATGTAAATGTTGATCATATTTGATGTGTGTATTATGAGTAACACTAAAAAACGTCAACAAGTAGTAGCATTAAAGATTAGGTGGTGGCAATTAAAAGGTGAGAAGCAAAATATTTTCAAGCGGAATCTTTTGGACAAAAGAATTTGGGAATCTTAAGGAAGTGCTAACATCTTGTGGGAGGATATGGCTAAAAAGATAAGGGAGGCTGCAAAAGTAGTTTTGAGAATATCAAAAGGTTTTGGTCCAAGAGATAAGGAGTCTTGATGGTGGAATAATAGTGTATAGGACAAAATCAAACATAAAAAGAACTGTTTTAAAGCCATATATTTGTGTAACAATGAGGAAAAGTGGGAGAGGTACCATGTGGCTAAGAAGGAAACTAAGAGAGCTGTGTATGAAGTTCGTTCTAAAACTTTTGAAGAATTTTATAAAAGCCTTGAGACAAAGGAAGGAGAATGATACAGTTATAAGATTGCTAAGAGTAGGGAAAGAAAATCAAGAGATCTAGAATAGGTAAGGTGTATAAAAGATGAAGCAGGAAGAATTTTAGTTACAAATTATGAAATTAAAAATAAATGGGAGACTTATTTTTCCAAACTTTTCAATGATGGAAAGGGTTCGTCTAGTAACTTGGTGGATTTAGTAACTCGTGAAGGAGAATAAAATTTGCCATTCTATCGAATAATACGTGATAAGAAGGTAAAGGAAGCTTTTAAAAAAATGACAAATGATAGAGCCAACAGACCTGTTTATATATTTATTGAAGTGTAGAAATGTTTAGGTGAAGAAGGGGTGAGATGGTTGACTAAGTTATTTAATGTGATTTTACGGTCCTAGAAAATGCCTGACAAGTGGAGAAGAAGTACATTAATTTCTATTTATAAAAATAAAGGGGATATTCAGAATTGTACTAACTATAGAAGGATTAAACTCATAAACCACACAATGAAATTGTGGGAAAAAGTAATTGAGCATGGGTTGAGATTGGAGACAAATATTTTTGAGAATCACTTTGATTTTATACTAGGTAGATTGATTATAAAGGCAATTTGTCTGCTAAGGGGATTAATGAAAAAGTATCGTTGTAAAGATAAAGATTTACACATGGTTTTTATTGATTTGGAAAAAGCTTACAACTATATACCAAGAGAAGTGCTTTGGAAAGCCTTGAAAAAGAAAGGAGTACAGATTGCTTATATTAAAGTCATACAAGGTATGTATGAGGGGATAAAAACTAGTATAAGAATGTCTAGTGGTCAAACAAAGGACTTTTTATAAAGACTGGACTACATCAGGGCTCATCTTTGAGTCTTTATCTGTTTAACTTGATCCTAAATATTTTGATGGAACATATTCAAGGAAAAATTCTCAAATATATGCTCTTCGCGGATGATATAGTTCTTATAGCAGAGATGAAAGAAGAGATTAATTGTAAACTTGAGTTATGGAGGAAGATATTAGAATCGAAAGGTTTTCATCTAAGTAGGAGTAAGACAAAATATTTATATTGTAAATTTAGGAAGAGACTAATCGACAGTAATTTTGAAGTGAAATTGGAGATCAAATTATACCTCAAGTAAAAGAGTTTAGATATTTGGAAGTCATTATTCAAAATGATGGCGAAATCAATGGGACTATTTCACATAAGATTCAAGTTGGGTAGTTTAATTGGAGAAAAGCTAAAGGAGTCATTTGCGACTGTAAGGTGCCTAATAAACTTAAAAGAAAGTTTTATTGTACTGCTATCAGACTGGCTATGTTATATAGTAGTGAATGTTAGGCTTTAACGGGACAATAAGAGCATAAAATTGGAGTAGCATAGATGAAATATTACGATGGATGTGCGGACATACACATAAAGATAAAATTCAAAATGAGCACATACGCGAGAAAGTAAGGGTAGCACCTATTGAGAAAAAAATAATAGAAAATAGTTTGAGATGGTTTAGGTATATACAAAGAAAACCGTAGGAGGCACCAGTGAAAAGAGTGAAACATATAACTTTGAGCCTTGTTAAAAAGGGTAGACGAAGGCCTAAGAAAATACTCTTGAAAGTTGTTGAACGCGATCTCTTAATTAATAATATTCCTAAAAGCTTGATAAATGATAGAGCACAATAATGTCTTGCAATCCATGTAGCCAACCCCACCTAGTGGGATAAAGGCTTCTTGTTGTTGTTAATTATTTGATAAATTGAGATAAAAGAAAAAAATTGAGGAGAAGCTTCAACATTTATTTTAATTAAACAAAATTAATTTTTATTTAGAAAAAAGAAACAGAGATAGATCAAAGAAAATCACAATTCATTTTCTATGATTATGATTTCCCTCTGCCCAGGCTTACTTCATAGGATCTCATTTTTTACTACAAAGATTCCAGAAAGATAATAGTGTCATGAAGAAAGTTTTAGATTTAAAATGAGGGGATCTTTTTCATTTCAACTTTTTACTTTTAGATTTCTTAAAAAAAAATTAAACATAAAATGTTGATGAGGTAAAAGAAGAAAAGGCTGAGAAGCTTATCGATTTATTTTAATAGAATAAAATTAATTTTTAATTAAAAAAGAAATAGAGATAGATAAAAACATAAAAATCAAAATTTTGAAAAAAGAAGTCCAGTGGAACCGCTGGAGGGCAAAAGTGGAATTTAAAGAGAAGATGGGGTCCGCAAATATTAAATTTATTTAATAATCTTAACCACTTTTCAATATTGATAGGTGGCATCGAAATTTAACTCTTGATCTCCCATTGCCTTCAAAACAAATAATGTGGTTGCAGTTCTCCAATTACCTTCTCTTCTGTTTCTTATCATTTCCTTTCTTATCAAATGATGCAGGTTTATATGTGATGCCTCTTGATCCTGATGTGGTTCCTAAAATGTTTGGGGAAGAAAGTAGGATAAATATAAGCATCTATCATTTACTACATCTCATTACTTTTAGCTAAAAGTTAGTTTTTCTTATTCATTGCCCGTACTACAAGCTGCACTAGCTTCAGCAATGTTAAAATTAGTAAACAAACCCAGTTGCAAGGACGCAGCTTTAGTTCTTGTCAACATTCTTCTCTATCTCTCCGAATTTTTCAGAAACCATGAGGGACGACACCACTTTTCAAAGCAAAATAGAAAATGAATACCATAAACAATTCAAGGCCTGATGTAATGAACAAGGTACCTTGCCGCAATTCCTGTGTAAACATCTGCGGGCTTCTCTCCCGCAACTAAATTGACAGCAACTGCCCCCAGCTGGGAAAAAAAATCAAATAAGTAACTACATATAGGAGCCTCAAATCAATGATACCTCAATGTCAGAAAATAGAAAATAGAGAGCATACTAAATACAAGGCAATAAAAAAATTAACAAAGATACTAAGGAAACATCAATGTAGACTTTTCACAGAACCTTTAATTTGGGTTCAAAAATTTTGTGACGTAAAAGATATACATACATTTCAACCCGTGCCACTTCTAACAATATATTGGCACAAAACTCAAATTCAAACAACCTGACATTGACATAGATCGAAAGACTTTTATAATGAAGCTACACAATCCAAATTTTTACCTTCATTAATCAACAAAATATTCAAGATTGAGTTTAACTTGATGTCTGATTTTAATTCTATAATGTTCAAATTCTAAATAATAACAAAGTTATATAGCTGGTTTTTCTTTTTCAATAGTCAGCAACTTTCTTTTTATGTTCCATTTAGAATTATTAGTGCTTATTTCACAGGAAAACTCTTATTTAGTAATCAAGTTTTTCTTCGGATGAATAAAAAATCAGAGCAATTAATTATCTTCATGTAACAAAATCTCGAATAATTGGAACTAAAGAACTTGGTAGCAATTCAAGTTAAAAGAGAGAGGGCCAAAATAAAAGTCAAAATGGCCATTACCTTGTCTCTTCCTAGGGCAGCATAATGTTGCAAGCCATTGCAAGAACCATCCTGAGACAGAAACCATAAAAGAACAAGGTGTATCTTGTCAAGCATACGTCAAATAAATAATATAACGATGATGATCACAATCAAAATACTAACAATGGTACAGCTAATTGGTTACTGACATTACAAACCCAAAAATCAAGAGAAAATGCCTAGCTTTTGACTGTTCTGTATGCCTACGCAAATGCAGGAACAAAATGACAGGGATTGTAGCAATTTTTAATTGAAATATTTGCGTCAGAAAAAAGATAAAAACATAATATAATAGCATGCGTTCTGATGAAGCAAACTCGTAACTTAAAAAGAGATGGTAAGGTAAAGCGCATTGTTAAGTAAAATGTAACTACAGAAAAAGTTTGATTTTCATGGTTCCACTGTTGTCATCATGCATTCCTGAAAAAAAAAAAAAAAAAAATCTTCCCAGTTTCTCCTGATTAATGATTATATCCCAGTGGCCAAAGAAATTGACCATATTTTTGTTGACCAATAAAGAAACTGACCATCTTCATGAAAATTACTCTACAGAATTTTGACATATGTTTTATCTTAACAGCATAACAGTCAAAAGAATGAAATTAAAAATTTATATATTGGGCAAATTTAGATAAGAGCTAATTATATCAATTGGAAATATAATCTAAAATTAATTTTCAGCTCATTGTACTCCCAAATATTGTCTAATGACTATATTGTTACCCTGGAGGCATAGACAGGAGTGTTTGAGCATACTCACCTGAAAATCAGAACATGTTTAAATTGGTTTGGTTTGGCTTTTGTGCACAAATAAGGTTAGCTTGGTTTTTTTTTTTTTTTTCAAGATAGATGCTTTCAGCTCTTAACAGTTTTGGCTTAGGGTTTCAACAATTCTTTATTATCACTTATAACCTCATCAACTGAAAACACACCCAATAAAGGCTTATTAATATGTGAGCGTGTGTAATGAATTATTAACACGATACACCTTTTACATTAGATATAAAAAGAGGCAAGCCACTAGTAATTATACATTACTGGATTTTTCTCTTCTTACTATTCTTATTTTTTCTCCTTTTCCTTTTAATGTAAAAAGTTTAACCATGCACAGTAACAGCTAAATCCCATCCAAGCTGAAAAACTCAGACTATATTTGGAAAATTGAGCTTATTTTATTTTCCAGACCCAAACCCCATTGACTTCGATCAAGTACCTGATGTACAGGAATATGTGAGATGAATGTCTCAGGTGAATGGCTTCTTAAAGCTTCAGTGAGGTCCATGCATACAGCCAAGCACTGGAATGGATCTTCTGCATTCAACCACCACCGCCTCCCTTCAAGTGGTTTGTCTGCAGAATCAAATATATCTTCCAGATGATTTTCCACAAATGCTATACGACCATCATGAGATAATTTATCAACACCACCAGCATATAGATTTGCCAAGTGTATCTTCAGCCAGTGTAAGCCAGATTTTCCAAGAGGGCGTCCCTCTGCAAATTCTAATATGCCCCGGCATACATCTGCACCAAGGTGATTCAAGTGTGGGTGCATTGGATATGCACGTCCTCGGAAATCAAGGTTGTGAGGGTAGAAGAAACCCTCTTCATCCTTCAATTTCCGTGCTACCTGAACACATAGGATTGCATGTGTTAGTAGACAAACATAATGGATTACTAATTGATTCACAAAAAGTTCACAAAAGCTTACCGAAAGTTTAAGTTCTATGTCACACCGTCTCGAGTGTCTCTCCCTGTTCTCTTTCTTCACAGATTTAGACTTCCATTTCCATTTCTTGATCAGGGCTTCATCATCAGTATCAGGCTTCCCAGGTAAAGGAACCTGCAAGTTTAATTTCATGCCAAACAATAGTGAATAGAATTGCATAAAGCAAATATTCATAGCTCACAATAATCTTAGATCTGTACAACATGCACTTGTTAATAATTAAATGGGGCAATATTTGATGTTGGAAAAATTAATTTTTTAGCCCTTCAATTTTTAATCCATTTGTAACTCATTCTTTTAACTATGACTCACTGCGATTCAATCCCTCAACTTTTCACTCACCTATGACTCAATCCCTCGATTTTTGACTCGTTTATGACTCAATCCCTTAACTTTTGTGTTCAGTCTTAATAACAAAACAGGGAAATTAATCTTTATCTAAATCTGGACAAGGATCTCATTCAAATTAGATAAAGCCAAGAGGGAGAATCTCCAAATAAAGAGTCAGAAATCATTCATATCCATTCCTTAATTAACTTACAGTTAAATGACACCATGAAGTGGCAGTTATAACTGTAACTTGACAGCACGCACAAACTGACATCCTAAAACTCGACAACTCAGCATTCTTAAGATAAGAAACATAAACTGCAATATTAAAATACTGACAGCACATAAGAAGTAGTTATTCAGCAAGAATAACTCCCTTATCAACTAACTTCATTCCTGTATTTTGACTTAAATCCTCCTTCCGTCTTTTATATACCAATAATGGACTTCCATCAGCATCCCCTCCTTTCAAAACAGCCTTGTCCTCAAGGCTGAAATGAGGAAATTGGTCCCGAACCAGGTCATATTCCTCCCAAGTTGATTCATCTTGAGGACGGCCAAGCCAAGAAACAAGTATTTCAAGTATGTTGAAGCTGCCTGATGAAATCCAGCGATGAGAAAGGACACTGTGAGGTTGTAATTGAAGCTCCCAAGTGTCTAAAAGTGGTAGAGGAGGTGGAGTGAAAGGAGAAGGAGTACCATGAGCAGGGTGCAACATTGAGACATGAAAAATTGGATGAATTTTAGCATCAGGAGGTAGGAGAAACTCATAAGCAACAGGTCCCACCTTACGAACAACCTGGTATAGGCCAAAGAAGCGAGGAGACAGCTTCTCACACTTTCTTTTTGGTAAACTGAATTGGCGATAAGGCTGGATTCTTAGATAAATATCACGTCTGTGAGCATCAACTTGAGCTTTCATTCTGGATTGAGCTTTGAGGAGGTTATCCTGAATAATCTGCAACATGGCGTCTCATTCCAAAAGTTGAGTTTCCAAATCAGCGACTTCGGTTTCACCAGACACATAAGGGAGAATAGGTGGAGGGGAATAACCATAGACAATCTCAAATGGAGTGAAGCCTATAGCAGTATGAAAGCTGGTTTTAAAAGAGTACTCGGCCCAAGGAAGATACTTACTCCATAATTTCAGTTGTTCATGTGCAAATCAACATAAATAGGTTTCGACACAACAATTGACCACCTCTGCCCATCACTTTGTGGGTAATAAGCTATACTCATTCAAAGTTGAGTGTGACTAAGACGAAATAGTTCTTGCCAAAAGCACTTAGGAAGATTGGATCTCAATCAAAAATGATGGAAATAGGAACACCATGAAGTCGAACTACTTCACGACTAAAAACAACAGTGATGGACTTGGCAGTAAAAGGATGAGAGAGGCTAATAAGATGAATGTATTTGCTAAAATGATCAACCACAACAAATATGGTATCTATTCCACATGACTTAGGTAATCCAACAATAAAGTCCATGAAAATATCTTCCCAAATACAATGTGGAGGAGGAATAGGCTAAAGTAATCCTGCTAGAGACAAAGTCTAATATTTTGAAATTTGGCACGCATGGCAATCTTGAACATGCAGCTTGACTTCTCGCTCCATATGAGGTCAAAAGAAATGAGTTTGTAATCGTTTAAGAGCACGAAGGTATCCTCTATGGCCCCCTATAAGAGATGAATGAGCATCTGCCATCAACTTGGATTTAAGAGTAGGATGATCAGAATGACCAAACACCCTTCATAAAACAACTTCCCATTGACCAAAGCATAATGTTGAACAGTAGTAGGATCTTGAACAATGGAATTCTTAATGTGTTGAGTGAAAGGATCTTGATCAATCCATGCTTCTATGTCATCAAAATCTGTACTATGTGGAATAGCAAGAGCCATGAAATCAGCATGTTGAGGTTGGCGTGAAAGAGCATCAACACCACTATTATTACAGCCACTCTTATGTTTGATGGTAGAATCAAAGGGTAACAACTTCATTATAAGTCGCTACTAATCCAAAGTTGAAAGTCGTTGATCCATCAGATACTGAAGACTGTAATGATCAGTATAGATGTCAAAATGGCAACCAAGGAGATAATGACGCCACTTTTGTAGGGCTAACACTGGAGCTAATAATTCTTTGTCATAAGCAGATTTGACACGATTAGAAAATGTAAACCCTTTACTGAAGTAGGCAACGGGATGAGTATCCTAGATAAGAATGGCACCAATGCCTAAAGTTAAAGCATCACATTTTACGATGAAGGGCTTGTTGAAGTCTAGTAAATGAAGAATAGGTGCATTAATTAATGCATGTTTGAGTTGTTTTGCAAAGATTGCTCGACCAAGGAAGACTAATGAACAAGCAAGTTGGTGAGGTCATGTAATGAACAAGCAAGTTAGCCATAATGATGCACAAATCTTCTGTAATAACCTGTAAGACCAAGAAATCCCCACAATTCAATAACATTAGTCAAATTAGGCCATTCCAACACAGCGTGTATCTAGGAAGGATCCATAGCAACCTCTCCAGATGAGATGACATGCCCTAAAAAATCTATCTGAGGTAAACCGAAAGAGCATTTCTTCCCATGAGCAAAATAAGCAACCTGTTGTAGTCTTGAGAGGAGTGTATAAAGATGTACTAGATGGTTAGCCATTGTAGGACTATAGACTAGCATATCATCAAAGAAGACAAGAATAAAACGCCTTAGATACAGTCAAAAAAGATCATTCATAGCAAATTGAAAGGTAGCCAGAGCCTTAGTGAGACCAAAAGGCATGACTGTAAATTCATAATGTCCTGAATGAGTTTGAAAAGCAGTTTTGTGAATGTCTTTAATGGGCACTTAAGTAGGATGAGGAACCTTACCTCAAAAGCTAGCTGTTGAAGTGGGAGAACCAACCCATTTATATACCCCATTAAGCATCTCATACTACTTAATGTGGGACTTGGTATCCCATATTATCAAGTCTCTATCAATTGGCCCCCCATGGAAAGCCGACATCTCGACGGCTACACTCCACAGCACTTAACTCGGTCTTCTTCCGGTTAGAACCCTCTATGGGTAGTCCTTTTCGAAACGCCAACAACGAGGCTCTGATACCAATTGATGGGTACCTAAGTAGGATAAAGAACCCTACCTCAAAAGCTAGCTGTTGAAGTGAAAGAACCAACCCACTTATATACTCATTGAGCATCCCATACTACTCAATGTGGAACTTGGTATCCCATATTATCAAGTCTCTATCAGTCTTCAAGTTTAACTCTAATTTGGTGATATCTAGAACGCAAATCAATCTTTGAGAAGACTGTAGCCTCATGTAACTCATCAATAAGTTCATCAATATTGGGAATGGGGTATTTGTCAGGCATAGTTAGCTTATTTAACTCTCGGTAGTCAATGCAAAATCTCCAGAGAATCATCTTTCTTCTTGACCAATAATACAGGGCTTGCAAACAGGCTTTCATTGGGTTGTATAAAACCCTTGGCTAATATATTTACCACCTAGCATTCAATTTCATCTTTGGTAATGTGGGCATCTATATGGATGAATATTTGGTGGTGTAGCCTGAGGCTGCAAATTAATAGAATGGAACTTGTGCCGAAGAGTAGGAAGAGCTGAAGGAGTATCAAAAATAGAAACATACTCATCAAGAAGGCTTTGTAACAGCCATTGGAAAGCATCTAGGTCTATAATAGGTTGTTGAGACATCGAACGCAAACTTGCTTCTGCTTGGTTGCCAATGTGGACTCCTTGGAGCTTGTACCTTTTGCCATTAACCCAGAAAACCATGAACATCCATTGCCAATTTGCTTGAACGGTATTCAAAGAAGATAACTACTTGATTCCCAATACTAGATCAACACCACCCAAAGAGAAGGGAAAAAAATCTTCAATAATTTCCAATGACTGAACTCATAAGGTAACTTGAGGACATATATTATTACTATAAATTATATGCCCATTGCCAATTTGAACTCCAAAAGAAGGAACCGGTTTAGTAGGAATCTATAAATTTTGCACCAATGTAGAAGAGATGAAGTTATAGGTGGAACCACTATCAATGAAAATAAGCACTTTATGATGATTCAGGATGCCTTCCATCTTTATGGTAGTACTTGCAGGGTGTCCTAAGATGGCATGAAGAGATATCTTTGCATGTAACTCTTGTTTGCCTTATAAGTTCAGTTCTTCAGACCACTCTGCTTCTACATTGGGTTCTTCAGTGATCTCCATAAGAGTCAAATTAGCATTTTTGCAGCGATGCCCTTGAATAAATTTATTACCGCAATGGAAACAAAGTCCCTTATCTCATCTTAACTATTTTTTTGCATCCTAGTTCGTGTTTGCACACTGTAGAAAAGTAGAGGAATTGGCCTAAGACTGCGCAGCTACTGTACCTATCGTGCGGGTGTCTTTTAAAGGCCACGTGATTGCTGCATGCATGTGGCTGCACTAAGAAGTTCCATAAGTCTTGGAAATTTTTGCATATTATAATTTGGACTCATATTATAAGGCTAAGCTCAAGGCCTTATAAAATAGATCTTCTTTAAGCCCATTAAGAAAAACCCCCTAACAAACAATGTCCTGGCCAATTTTTCACTCTAGCAGATCTCTTTGCAAATTCCAACCGATACTCTTTTACTGTTCCAGATTGCTTAATTCCACACAAAAATTCATCAGGGTTCTGAAATTCTACAAGACCGAAATTCTCTTGAAGAGTGCACACGAGATCTTCCTAATAAATTATTGAGCGTTCAAAAGTTGCCCATGCGAAAAGATCTAATGCGTTGCCTTCTAAGTAAATGGCCGCAACATCAACCTTCACATCGGGAGTTTGGTAACATCTAAAATACTTTTTTGCTTTCAGTATCCAGCCTCTAGGGTCGCCTCCATCAAACTTTGGGAAAATCAACTTTGGTATGTGATCTCCTTGTGGGGTTTTTGAAGCCACCAAGGTATGTTCTCTCGTCGTCTTCATCTGCTACAGAGTATGAGTTCTCAGGTTGTTTGCCTTTGTTTTGAGAAGATTGCCCCGGAATCATCTAAGATATGTTGCTGCTGTAATTTTACTGCCGCGTAGAAATCCCATCCGCTACATTCAAACGAGAAGAAGAAAGTTGATTTAGTTGCTGGACTATGGATTCTAATAAATTAGAGGTTGCTGAAGGGGCAGTGGGATCGATAGAACTGTTTGTAGTACTCACCATCCTGGGAAAAACCAGGCTCGAATACCAAAATGTTGAGTCTTAATAACAAAACAGGGAAATTAATCTTTATCTAAATCTGGACAAGGATCTCGTTCAAATTAGATAAAGCCAAGAAGGAGAATCTTCGAATAAAGAGTCAAAAATCATCCATATCCATTCCTTAATTAACTTACAATTAAATAACACTATGAAGTGGCAGTTGCAACTGTAACTTGACAGCACCACACAAACTGACATCCTAAAACTTGACAATACTACTAACAGCACATGAGAAGTAGTTATTCAGCATGTATAACTCCCTTATCAACTAACTTCATTGATGTATTTTGACTTAAATCCTTCTTCCATCTTTTATATACCAATAATGGACTTCTATCATTTGTTAGTTCGCTTTTTTCAAGTTAACTTAGATCCCGCATCAAAGAGCAAGAAGAGAGTATTTTTAGTGTAAGATATGAGCATTTCTTTTATCCCTCTTATTTGATGAGGATAATTTTTTAAAAAAATTTGAAAAATAAGGACTAAGTTATAAGTGAATCAGAATTGAGGAACTAAGTCGTAACAAGTTATAATTGAGGAACTGAGTCGCAATGAGTTATAGTTAAGGGATTGAGTTACAAGTGAGTTAAAAGTTGAAGAACTAAAAGATTAATTTTCCCTTTAATGTTTATCATAAATTGTTGATATACCCTGTTAATAATTAAATGTTGGAATATTTGATATTTTATTGTAAGCTCTGCCTAT